GATAAAAGTCCAATGGAGTCAGGTCCGGTGACCTCGGTGGCCATGCTACTGGGCTACTGTCTTCTTGTATTCAGTGGTACATCTTCAAGGAGACGTGGCAAGTGTCTTCTTAAGAATCACCGATATGTAGGTCCTCTTAGACGCGATGGAAGCATGTGTAGACCAATAAGCATGTCGCCAATAATTCCTCCCCAAATGTTAATTTAAAATCTTTGCTTGAAGCTAGATTCACTTTGAAACTTATTTTTGGATATTATTTAGAAAATGAAACATTTGAGACCATGTTCATAGGAACATTTTTTCTTATTTTTAATCCTGGAACACGCACACGAGGTTTGTAAAATCAATGTACGTTAACCAGGATCGCACTTTCAACAGGCTCTAAATTCCACTACTGCGGAGAACTACCAAGGCATCGTTTGTGCAAGGTGAAATTATCAGAACAAAACAAGACCAGTTCTTCAGGAGCCTCACTGAAAACCTAACCTAACCTAACCTAACAACAAAAACTGTATATTGTTCTAAAGCTGGCCATACTGAAGGCAAGTCAAAGTACACAGTAGATCCAAACTTACTGAAAACCTAAGAATCAGTATGCTAACAACAAAAACTGTATATTGTTCTAAGACTGGCCATACTGAAGGCAAGTCAAAGTACACAGTAGATCCAACCTTACTGAAAAAAGTAAAATCTATTATCCTCCTGAAGTGGAAACTGGATGGAAAAACTGCATCTAATTCATTAGCAATTTCAAGTAAGCATATAAAATCATTGATACTGGAGGTTATTTAATAAATTTTCATGTTGATTCTGAATATTTTTATGCAATATTTATCATTACAGTGGCTTAATTTTCAAATTGGTGAAAGTTCCCAGAAGAAGAAATGTAGTGTTTCTTTCCTTTTTGCCCACGTGTCTAAGAATGTTTAGAGTGGTCTGGTAGATGAAGATAAAGCCTATTTTAGTAGGAGAAATATACCAACAGTTCCAAATTTTCATTTCGAGAACTTCCATTATGTCTCATAAATAGGAGCCATATTCACAATTATAGCAGGATTCACTTATCGATACCTTTTATTCACAGGACGTATGAGCTGAAAGATACTCTACCCAAAAATAAACAATGATTATCACACACTACATGATAATATGATGCTAACAAAGTATTTAAACAAACATGACATGAATAAAGGACAGAGCAAGTTTACCAGCATATGTGAAATAATTGTAATTGTAAACTGTAACTGTTCTAGTGCAAAATAGAACTGAATAATGCCACTGCCATCACGTGATGTCCGAACAATGTCCTATGTTGTGTTTGTATTTTTTATTTATTTAGTGTTCTGTCTGACGACAGGTCCATATGAACAGGATCCTTCCATCCTTTTCTCGGACTGGGACCTGTTCATATACGTTCTTGGCAGATGATCCAAAAGTGGTTTGCCATAGCCTTCTTCTGTGTGTGAATGGAGTAATTATTGGGATGCCACGGAGAAACCGGGGAAGACCCCGGAGGAAAACTCCGTGTTGCCTAGACCACGGCCTTGCCATATTACCTCAAAACAATGTCTGAATAAGTAATCTTGTCATCAAACGACAGCAACAGTGGAGTAAATGACAGAAACACGCTCTAAATTCCCCATGCCTAGGTTATCAGATATTAAGATATCTGCTCTTCAGGTCATCTGTTCCAGTCTGAGAAATATAATCAGACGACATCAAGCGCTCATAGATAATACTTCTCCGAATAAGTGCAAGTACATGAACTGGGTCCATCTGGCTCAGGTAGGGACAAATTGTAGACTCATCTGAACATAGTAATGAACCCTCAGCTTCCATAAAAGACTGAGAATTTCCTATTAGCTGAGTAACTATTAGCCTAGGTTCTCAGGAGGGACTCTGTTAAATGGTCTTTGGTTACTTCAGAGTTTCATTCACGTAGAAACTTCTCTAGTAATGACGTCATCCCATAATTATACAAGTCCTGAATGTTCAGCATGATCTCTTATATGGTGTTTAATAATTATTAGCATTTACAGGTTTACCAATTTCATACCAACCTTTACAAAACCAGACATATTTAAGTTTTCAAATAATATCATTATAAACTGCCTTTTTCAACCAAGAAGCTACCATGTATGTAAATCTATTATAAGTAATCATGATTGAAGAAAAGGAAACTTGTGTGTTAAATCCGTTAATTTATCATAAATTATCATGCTGAAAAATACGACTTACAAATAATTTCTTATGATTTATTTATTCCACTTCAGACAATTGCTAAGTCGTTCTTATTCTAATAAAGTTATTCTTTACTTTAAACCAATTTGTTTGTATCCAAAATATTCATAAAATACAGAAAACTTTAACATACCCATTAGTACAATTATTATGTATTTTATGTGACATCAACTGTTTTGTTTTAATGTTGTTAATTCTAACAAAAAGGGACACCAATGTGGGCGTAAAGATGCACTATTATATTCATTACGTTAATCAGTAAGCCTGAATATATATATTAAGAAACTTAATTGTTGCAGCATAACTAGTAAAGTATTTACATAATACATAGACTATCCAATTTCACCGTAAGATAACGCATTCATCAATATTCAATTAAATTTGTTGGTAAAATTGTACATTTATATTATGAGCATAAGATTGTAATATTTGGATCAAAATTGGTAAGGGTGGTCAAATTCTTTCAAGTTAAATATGTGTAAGTCTTTCGTTATTTCTAAAATTATGTCATTTTGAAAAAAAAAAAGCTAGATTCCATACTAGTAAAAATTATCTCTTATGTTAACCTTTACAATCCGCACAACACAGCTTACACAAGGTCCATCTGGCCTCCATACCTCTAAACTGTTAATCCCAAAGCTAGAGTTCAGTTGGCAGCTCTGTAATAAATCCACCAATCCCATATGATAAAGGTTAAACTTTCCTTTGTTTGAACTACAAGATCAAAGCATATTGTATAGCAAATGCCAGTCATATTAGCATTTCCAGTCTAATTTTATAACTCCGAGAATATTGTATTTATAACGCTTGGGAGATGTGGCGTGAGTATCTACTTGTGACTGAAGAGTGAGCTGTTCATTACTATACGCTACAAGCATTATACAAACATTCTGTAAACTGTAGTGAAATGTAGAGGCACTCATAGCATGCGGACCCTGGACAGTCAGGTCTCTGTTCTTGTCTTTGTTTGGTTTGTAGTCAGTTCATTCACTTGTGGCATTATCGACGTCCTAACCTCCGACTACCCATAAAAGTGAATAAATTAATTTGTGAGACATTAGGACAGTCTCCACTTTCCTATAATAGGAATATGATCACAGTAATAGTACGAGTAACCTACAGCAAGATATGGTGAACTCTGAATTAATTTATATAATATTTCCCATACAAATATTTTTCTTTGTTGAGGGTGGAACCAGGAAATTCACAATGCATGTCTTTGGTCTCAAACCTGAATCATTTAGCATGGGAAGCCAGTACATATACGCCACCAGGTCCACCCTTTTGTCAAATCATACTATTTCACTGTTTCTACTTGTATCCTGGCATGTTTTTTATACATCCATGCTCTCTGACAGAGTCAAAACTTTGTGACTGTGGAATTCCAGGATCTGACCATGCTCAGGAGTCTGCAAAAAGCTGCAGATCCCTTTGCCAGTCATCATTGGAATCTTCAATCTATCATTAAATGTAACAGAACACTGCCAAATGATCACTTCCACTATAAACCTCAGAAATGGGGGCAAAGGACAGAAAAGTTAAAAGACAGTTGACCATTACCATCCTTGCATCAGGATTAAGAACTATTCATCTGCATCACACAGTGCTACCACACCAATGAACCATTAATACCAGAATTAAGGTCTGAGAGGCAGCCCCAGTATGATGAAGGTTACCTGCTTTAAGTATTGGTTATAATGGGAAGTATATACAAGAGTCAATAAACACAAAATTCTTGGGTTTGCAAATTGATAATCACCTAAATTGGACAAATCATATTGATAAACTGATACCTAAGTTAAGTGGCACATGTTACGCAGTTAGATCACTGTTGCATGTAAGCAACACCGACACACTCAGATCAGTATATTTTGCCATTTTCACTGTTTAATGAATTATGAAATAATTTTTTGAGGAAATTCATCAAACATCAAAAAGATATTCACTTTACAAAAGAAAATTGTTAGATTATTGGCTGGTGTAAAACCTAGGAATTCATGTAGAAGTCTATTTAAGAGATTAGAAATCTTACCTCTACTCAGAAGTCTTGTAAATAAAAAGGCACAATTTAAACCAGCATTAAAAAGATACTTAATTACACACTCCTTTTACTCTGTCGATGAATTTCTAATGTTTACAAGTAAGTCATAATTTATCTATTGTATATAATGGGTGGGTTTATTTGTAACTTATCTCTACTTCATGTGAACCCTTTGTTTGTATTTGTATAACATGTATTGTATTATTATGACTTATTCTACATCCTATTGTCATCTGACTAACTTATGGATCCATGGAATGTAATAAAGATGTATGTATGTATGTATGGTAACATCTGAAACAAGATTATAAAAGTATATACTATAGAGTACAAAAACATTCCATAGGATTTCTGTGGGTATGATATCAAATAGTTGAAAAACTACTGACAGAATTTAGCAACATTAATAAATGTCAGCAAGATAAACTGATTGACATGATACATATGTCTAGGGATAGTTCACATGACCACTGATAGATGGCAGCATTTGCAGTTCATAATACTGATGATAGATGACAGCACCTTTACTTCGCACAGTAACAGAAAATCTGTCAGCTGTTTACAAGTTGTTTTTCAGAAAGGATTGTCATATGATCACTGATGGATGGCAACATGATCTTGGCTGAGAGATGTAACAGGCAGGCAGACACACATAATGTGCCACAAGGTTATCTTTGCTTATGATACTGTATAAAGAACACCTAAAAACAACTTGCAGTCCAATTCTCAAACAACAATGGCATATATTGACATAAATATATTTTATATTCAGTATAATTACGTATTTAAAAAGTGTCTAGTCTGTATGGACACATGGGTTATGGCACACAAGAAATATCTTAGGTCAAACACAGAGCTTGAATCATGCCAAGAGCTTGAATATTTGTGTATATTTTTGCCACCAGCTCTCTTAATATACATTACAAAAACCCTCATTCCAGATTGTGCGACAGGCTGGTTCCCCACACAGGCAAGAAACTTGTTTCTTAAGAATGTGTAGAAGAGATTTCCAAGACTGAGCAAATCTGGAAAATTTGTGAAAACTTTGAGGAAAGAAAATTTAGAAATCATTAAAGGCTATTTTACTGTTTTGTTTGATTTTTATATCATTACATTGAACTGGTCTGTAACTGGACAGACATTTCGTACTCTGGTCTAAGTTAATGACCAGTTGCTGTACATGGGTGACACAAAGTGACTGGTGTACACTAACGAAATTTTCACTTTTAGTATGCACTTTTATTAATAACAATGTGGTTATTTCTGTGGACTAGAATGAAAACAGGTGTGCCTGGGTTGCTGGGTTTTCTAACCTTGTCCATTCTCTGACAAGGTTTAAAAAACCAAGAATCCAGATTATATTGCCATTGTATTATAATATCATTTTTATAAACCTTCAGAATATATGTTTTCCTGCATTTGGTACACAGAACTTGAGAGTGCAGGCTTCACTTTGTCCATCAGCAGAACATCGACAGGTGTTGCATTCCCTCTTGTAAGTTGCGCCAGGTACACATTTCTGAACATCTGTGATAAAAAGTTAATTCAATTAAATTAACTTACATTCTAATAACAACACCCACAGATTCAACTCTACTAATATCAAACCCTGAACCAATTCAATAAAATATACATTTCCACAATCTATACATTAAATGTAATTGACTATCTGGTAATAAAACCCTGGTTCAACACCGCTAATATTAAAGATTACCACTTGACAATTATCTTGAGCTAGTTATATATATACATTAGACTTCTCCACAAACAATTTGATTGATTTAACTGTCTAGTAATAAAACCTAAAGGTTCAATACCTCTACAATTAAAGCCCATCATTAGATACATCTGATTCTGAGCGATATCTAACTTTGTCCTCTTGATTCACTTTAATATTGTCCTCTCATCCCCAACCAGAATGTTCTCTTGCACCATTTTATGTACCATGTAACTTACCAGTAATTGCTCAATTATAAATATTATAGTTTTATGGAGCTCTCTTTACTTTGAACCTAAGAATATGTACTGGATCAGTGAAGCTCCATTCATTACTATTTTCACTACCTACACGTTTCATTTCTAACTGAAAAGATGACCTCAGTATGTAAAGTACATAGATAGGAAAATACAAATTTTACCATCATGACAAATTTTCATTTGGTGTGGACTATGCTGTGAACCTAATGCATTATTCTGCGAGGTGACTCTAGTATTTAGAGATAATTTTCTTGATAAAGATATTCGGTACAAGCATTTCAGGATAATATCAGTAATTTTGTTATGATAGTGTAAACCTCCCAGTTATTGGCACTTTAAGCGCGTCGATTGAGAAAACATATAATTTTGTCTATTAGTTTTTTATTGAACTTTTGGTTAATATTACCAGAGTTTTATGAGTAGTTAACTTTAAGCGCGTTGATTGAGAAAACATATAATTTTGTCCATTAGTTTTTTATTGAACTTTTGGTTAATATTACCAGAGTTTTATGAGTAGTTAAACAATATATTCCGCCAGTAACAGAGTGCAGAAATATATCTCGCTGGCTGGAAAGAAATTGTGAATAAAACATAAGAAAATCCCAGTTATTGGCACTGCGGAAAATTGTACTTGCAACTTAGGTTTTAGCAAAAGTAACTGATCTTAAGTGTTCTTTGTAACATTTGAGGAACTTAGAGCTAATACAATTTAGTTATTCTTATTTACAAATAATGATAATAATAATAATAATAATAATAGTAAAAAGTAGAGAAGTTTTAAATAAGTTCAAAAAGTGATTTCAAGCTTATAAAGTGTAAGTCTGCTTGAACAGAGTTAAAACTAGGTACATTATTGTGATAAGAATTTAACCTTTAAAAATTCCTGTATCATATTCATCATCAGTGTCATCTTCAACTGCAAAACAGTCATGACACATGAAAAGGTCATCATCAGAGTCATTTGGAATGTGGATTTGGTGTTCCTTTTGGATGCATGTTTGGTGATACAACTTCCTGAAGTTTCTGCATTGAAACAATTTTTTTAATAATAGCCAGAGACATTTTATTTGTGAGAATTTTAGAGGTTCATATGTTGTACATCTGATGATGGCTAACTAAAGTCGAAACATGCCGTGATACATAAATGAATATTTTATCACCAACATATGGTCATATATAATATTAATGTATAGACTATGAAAAGTGATAAATATATCCAAAGGTGCATAGATGGTAATTACATGATTGTATTCTTTGCTACCTTTGGATATTTGTCTAAAATACTTTCAGCAGGTCTTTTACTAGCATTTTCTGTTATAGTTTTCAGAGATGCTTGTTTCAGGAGATTTTTCTCTTCTCTTTCAACCTTTCTTTTATCTTTCTCTTTCAGAGCTTCTTCTTTCAGTTTTTCTTTCTTGTGATGGATTTACTGAATGTAATGCACTTTATTAAGTTCACATTCATAAAACAATAAACATTCAAAATTTGTTCACAGGATTCAGATAAAAAAGTGAATTAAGAGATCATTAATGAAGAAATGTGCAAAGCAATTTTCACTTATGCCCAAGACAATTAAACCCCATTTCACGTGTATTAAAACACTAGAGAATGGAAAAGAATTCAGACTCTTCAAATGTATACCAGTAACTAACAAATATATTAAGTTGTATTATTTGGTTCAAATGAAAAATTTTGTGACCTCTGCCAGGATTAAAGCCTGTTTTTCTAGTTTCCATGTGATGGCTATATTACCATATTATATAACATACATCTGTAGGTTCGGTGATGATATCGCATAATACAGCACCACTGCAAGACTGCAAAGATGTAATCCATTTGGGAGTATATCCAAGCTTGACAAATGTTCTCTAAGGCTTCACATCTCTCGTATAAAGGTCATGGCTGAGTATTTTTAACCCTCCTACTTCATACTCTGGAGGTCCCATGTTCAAATCTCAGCGCGGAGACCGACTATCCTAACACATTTTCCTTAGTCTTTAGAGCCACGTGCTGGGACATTATATTTAATTAGGCTTCAACCACTTTCTTCCATATCCTTTACAATTCATTGTTGGTTAATCATCCTATAAGTTAACGCTATACAGTCTGACATCATCATTTAATAAAGAAATTACATTATTTGTTTCAGCTTGTTATGTAATGTGGCAGAATATTTGTGGCTGCCTCCTAGCACGGGTTCCACTGAACTATGCGTATCAGACAGAACTGTGTGCACATCAGTAAACAATGTTACCGACTAACTCGAAGATGAAGCCTTAAAAGTTTTCCTGTGGATCATGTTGATTGATGGCAGTAATGTAAACAGTATTCTACGTTTTGTATACCAACAAAGTTAACTACTGACCTTTTTTTCAGGGTGACTGGCATTACTGAAATATTGTTCTATCAGCCGTATTATTTTTTAAACAACGAGATGTTCATCTTTCCAGATTATCTGCCTTCTAATATTAAATAATGAGTTCGTGCTCTCGCGGATCTCCCAGATAATGGAGGAAACGTCAGTCAGTTTCTACTATTCGGAACGTTTCAGAGGACAGTTATTCTTCTTCCTGCGGCTCCACAACCCAATATGGGTCTTGACCGTCCCAATTTCTACTCAAACCTGATCATAATCTTCTGTGCTTTTAATCTATGTACCATAATACTGTTCATTAATTCCATCTTGCGATGTCAAAGTACATTTCTTTCCCGCAGATGAACCATGGGTTGGCATTATTGACAGTTGGGGCGCGACATAACACTCCATATGTTATGTTGGTATAGTTTGTGAGGTTATCAATGTCTTCAGTGGGCCGTGACATAATCTGTTCCAAACACAAATGTAACATGAATGACCACGAATGAAATATGACAGTTTCAGTTAAAATGTTGATGTGTTTACGTTGCATATATAGAATACTCTGGATTTGCCATGAGAACCTTTAATCTTGCAGGGCAGAGGAGTGTTGTGGTTTGTATTTTATGGGGGCTGCCAAGTTTTGACTGTGCTGAAAGTCTTGATTTAGCCTATTTACTGCTCAAGAGGATATATATTGGTTAGTTTGCTGATAATTACATGTGAGGAAGTTTGTGTGCAGTTGTTAGGAAGTATAAAAATTCAGGCTTTTAATGTTCTGCCTATACAAAGTAAACTATGAAGCAAAAAATTGCACAGCCATGTATGGGAGAGGTTGTGGCTTCTCAAGTGTCGTGATACAGCAGTAAAATCCAGTGTTTTTATGTAAGCTTTCATGATAATTAATGAGAAATGTTTGTAGCAGTACTGCTAATACCTGCCCCTCCTTTTCTACTCCGAAGAATGGAGGTCATTGTCTTTCTTTCCATCACTACTATTACCTGCTTTCCCTTGTACTTTCAAGATGCCATCAAAAAGTAATAGACCAGACACTGCATGTAAACAACAACATAAAGGTTATAACTGCAATAAATAACTTTTCTTCTATGTAAGAACATATGGACATCCCTCCCAAACTTTATTATCAGCTTGAGACTTCTGGATCTCTTGTTTTGGATATTTGTATGTTGTCATGCCTAAATCTTTATCCCTGTTTAACTTTACAAAACAGACCCTTCAAAATCTATCCTCCATTTTGGAGAACTCTGATATATTTTAATTCCATTGTGTGTATGAATGACAGTGAAATTCTTATTTTATACTTTTCAAAGTAATTTCTATTGAAGAAGATGAATTTGTAGAGAAATGTAATCTCAGAGTTGGAAAGAACCTTAATCTTAATTTTTCTTATAGTGATGTTTCTTGGAACACGATTGAAGGTATGATAACGCATGTAATATAAACAAAAGTTCTGTTCTCAATGTAGGCAGTTTTCCAGTCTAATATTAAAAAGTTGTTTTTATCAGAAAGATTATGATATGTTTATATGTTCAGTAAGACAAATATAATACTTCACTAAGGTCTTCAAGCATATTGGCAATATTTTAATAATGTCATGGTGCCCACAGTAAAATCCAATTAGGATATTTGCTGACAGACTACCGACGTATACACCATATCATTCTGTCCAATGTTTGCGTGATAAAATTATTTGAGATCATAGTGGCAATTATTCAGTCTATTCACATGCCATAATGCAAGAATTATTGTTGTAAGTTTCTGTGTGAACAATGTGCTTCGTGTGTTGTTATTGGGTTACGGAATAAGAGAATGGATGGAGATTTCCGTCTTCTGGGTTGTTGCACTGTGTAGTCTGGTCGATGTTAACCAACGTTTCAGAGGTCATACTGCCTCCGTCATCAGGGCGATGAATCATACACAGCGCGACAACCCAGAAGACGGAAATCTTCATACTCACCGCTGTGAGAACCTCAAGTCTTATATATTTGAATTGTTAACTTCTGTATGCTTTTGTAGTGGACATGACAAAAATTTGTCTTGTGAAAGTGGAAGGTGCACGTTCATTGGCTACAGTAGAAGTGTTAACTGTGTGGTGAAGTAAAACTGTGTGTTGTTAGAGGAGTGTGATGCATATATGGAGGAATATTGATTTCTTGAATGTGGATGTATTTTGTCTTTCTAGGAGTAGCAGATTACAAGAAATAGATTGATCTTTCAGATTCTGAGCTTCATTCTGTATGTCACCTGACCTGCGTACTGCTTGCCAGAGTATCTGGGGCAACACTTGGCAGACTGACTTGATTTCGGAGCAGGAAACCTGCTGGGAGAATGAAGGAACCTGGTGTCCGCAAGATATTCATCTCTGTCTGAACTTGGCATGCGTTGTGTAAGTACATGAGCAATAGGATGTATTCGATGTGCTTGTCGTGTGAGAGAGATGAGTCTGTCCAATTTTATGTGGTACTTGAAATGTTGTGACTGTGAGTGTGAGAGTTGATATGTTGAAAGATCTACGTGCAACGAGGGATTGGCATAATTGCAGTATCTGTGGTGTGCTAGAGACATTCACGACTCTCTAGTGAATATGGGGTTCATAAGATATCAAATTTTGAGGTTAGGTATTGTTTGTAGATGTGGGTGGTGACTATTTGTGAAGTGAGTTTGTTAATTAGAGGTTTTGTTACATGTTTGATGTGTGTAGTGCTGTGGAGCCTTTAATATGATCTGTTTACTAATTAATATTTGAATAAGTGCCAGTGTAAGTAATTTAGTTTTGTTGACATGTGAGTATTGTGCACAGTGACCGGAGCTGCTGGGATATTTTCTGTGCTTTTGGTTAATTTTGAGAGTTTGCTGTGTTGTGCAAGGGGATAGGTTATAAAACATGTAAATTTGGGGTGTGGTGTTCGTTATGAATTTGGATTTGCTTGCAAAATTCACAAGCCCAGTAGATGACTGATAGCGGTGATAGATAGTCTGGTTCGATACAGGTGACAGTTACCGTGTGTCGATAGTTGTCAGGTTTCAGTCTCATGGACATGTGACAATGCTGAGTATTACTTCTGGTATATTGTGGTGGGAATAGGGAGGAGATTTGCATTAGAAATGAGGATTGGTGTGGAGGGTTTGAACCACGTACAGAAATGCAGTGCCACTTATGTGGGTGACAATGTACCAGTGCTGGTGTTTGACAGGATTGTTATTTTATGTGTCTAAATGGTTCTGTAGTCTTCTCAGCTTGGCAAGGAGTAATTTATTAAACCCGTCAGTCAGGCTGTTTATTATGAGGAATGTGGATTTGTGTGTGTGTGTCTGAGAGAAAGGGGCAGAAGTTATTAACCATTTAGTTTAAGTATAGAATTTTAAGAATTTGGAAGAAGAAAGAAGGCACTAATATGCTGACCTCAGTGCTGTAATGGGTTTAAAGAATAACATTAGAGAGAACGGCGTAGATGAGTGGTTATGAAATGCTGAGATGGTGGGTT